ATATATAATACAAATTAAATGTATAACTTTAATATTAATTAATGATAATTAATACCTTTAAGACAGTAAACTTGAAATTAAAATGCTAGTGAAAATATCGAGAACCTCGGCTGTGAAAGAAGACAGGTGAGACAATTTGAGGGATGCGCAGTAGGATAAAATTTAGGATTCAAATTTGAGTGGCCGTTTTGTGACTACTTGAGAGATGCACTGATTCCTCTGAATTGTCGTTGTACGCTTTGTCTCATCTGTTTTCTTTTCCTCCCCCCCCGCCTCCCCTTCTCCCATCATGGCATTCAACACTACTTACATACAGTTTTGCTAGTTTTGTATCGTTATACCGATAGAGAGCTAGATCTCTGTCATTCGCTTCTTGAAAATATGTTGTTACCGCAACACCGACTTTTCATAACACATAGTGCATAGTGCATGATATGTTGCATTATATAGTGCATGAGAAAATCAATCAAAAGTGCTCTTTTTTTTTAAAGGAATGTGTTACCTACAATAGAAATCGTAGTGGTTGTAGAGTCTTAAGTCATAAAAACTGGTGGATCAATTTTCTGCGATTTAGACCCTACGATCGCTACGATTTCTATTATAGATCCCGTTGAAGAATAGGAAGAATTTTTATTGGTTGATTCACTTATGCCCTGTGTGCATTATGTGTTATACAAAGTTCTGTGCTACGGCCTTAATAAGATATGTAAATTCTGAAATATGTTAAGTTTCATACAAAAAATATAAAAAATTTTGTTATAATTACAAAATTATATGGAGAAATTGATCATGTAAAAAATTCTTTTATTTATATATAACTTTATATAATTTTTATATCTTAGAATATTTCAGAATTTATATATCTTATTAAAGAAAGTTAATATTTCCTGCAGAACGGAGCCATTCTTAAATTATTTCGCTTACTTCGTTCCAGACAAATATTCGAGAGAAACAACTGTTTCAAAATTAATATGAGGCGACATACTAATAAGTGATTTAGTAGTGTTAGAATTTAAATGATTTATAAGATTATGTGTTAAAGATTTTTTTAAAAACGCATCGTGAAGAAAGATTAAAACCCCAAACTGAAAACGCGGTTTAGATTATTTATTATTTAAGAATTATTAGATACATATAAAAGTAAAAATTTGGATGTAAAAAAGTTTATACAAACATATTAGGTACTACAAAATGCGTGATATCGTAACAAATTAAAAAAAAATGGTTAAAGAAAGGCGCCAATTGTGCGTGCTCCTCTCAAAAAAAACTATTACATAAATTATTATAGGGGCTTGTACGTGTGGTCCTTGAAAAAAAAAATGACGTCCTATTCCAAACTTATTCCAAATTTACTTTCCTACACTGAGAGAAATGTTTTCTACCAATAACCAAAGTTTTGTTACTGACACAAAAACTATTTGTTGATATGATCAATGAAACCGTTGATTACCACGACAATATTAATTTGTTGAATTTAATAATTAAACTGATCGTTTAATGGTACAAAACTGTTTTGTATGATGTTTATAGATCTTTTGTAATTAGAAATAGAACATTTTGTTACCGGAACAAAATGAATAATATATAAGTATCTCTCACTTTCTACAGAGTGCAGATTATGTTTGGCGTTTTTGAATTTCCTTAGCTTAGTAAAAATATATATATATTTAGAGCAATTGAAATTACTAATCGCTCTGAAAAAATAGTTACCATGATTGAGCATGGTGTGGTGAGAACCGAGAAGTCCACGAGATTAGTCTCTAATCGTCTCGGCTTTGTAGAGGTAGACGTTGAATTTCTCTTACGACAAGACACGCCATCTCTGAATCCGCGAAACACTGCTTGCTCTACCATAGTGGATTATTTTGTTGAAATTACACTAAAAGAATACTTATTTTGTAATGGCAATCAAACTTTACATTGGTATTTACAAAACGTGAGTAACCAAATAAATTTGTACTGTTAAATAAAAAAATTTTGTTAATCTTTTACAAAAAAATATTGTATTTTGTAATTTTAACAAAGTAATCCAATGATAATCGGCCATTTGTGAATAATTCTCTTTTTTTGTTACCAATACTATATCTTTTCTCTCAGTGTAACTATGAATGTAGATAATAATAGTTTTTTTCAAAAAATATGTAAAATCTTTAAATTGCTCCAATTATAAACAAAAAATACAATTCGTTGAAACACTAAGATTGTATGACTACTTTTAACCAAAAATACATGTAAATAAGAGCATCTAATTGAAATAAAAAAATTAATATATAAAAAACTTGGCGCCGCTAGCAAACTTGACTTACAAAGGAACCTCGCGAAGTGTCAAATTCTGTTTTTAATGAAACTTTGGAACTTGTAGCTCACATAAAGAGATAAATTTAAAAAATATCAGTTGGGGCGGAAAACATGAACCCTTTACGCGTAAGAAACGTTTTATACAAAAGTATTGCAACAAAATTACCTCTATATTCATTTACATCAATAATATTTTTAATAAACAATTTTTTTCAAATTAAAAAAATTTTTTTCATTTTTTAAAAATATTATTGATTTTGACGAACAGAGGTAATTTTATTGTAAAACTTTTGTATAAAACATTTTTTGATATCTCAAATAGTTTTCGAGATATAACGGAAAAAGCTGAAAACTGCCGTACACGTAAGGGGGTGATTTTACCCGTTCAAATCGTTTTTCCGCCCCAACTGATATTTTCTAAATTCATCTGTTTATGTGAGTTACAAGTTCACAAAATTTCATTAAAATCAAAATTTGACACCTCGAGAGGTTCCCTTGTTAGTCTAGAGTGCCTCTAGATAGAGTGGAGACGTGAGCCGGAGGACGCCACGTTTCGGTCTTACCGAAACGATCAAAGATTGGCCCGAGCAGTTGAATAGGTACTCCTACTTATAAAATTGCTTTCACATATTCACATACATACATTGACCATCGACAAACTGAAACATGGCAGCACCAATCACGAAGAAGACCGTTCATGTCCTTCACTCTGTCTAGAGGCATTCTGGCGGCGCCAAGTTTTTTTATATATTAAAATTTTTTTATTTTAATTAGATGCTCTTATTTTTATGTATTTTTGTTTAAAAGTAATTGTATAGTATTAGTGTTTCAACGAAATATATTTTTCGTTTATAATTGGCACAATTTAAAGATTTCATACATTTTTTGAAAAAAATTATTATTATTTACTTTAATAGTTTGGAAAATAGGTTTGGAGTAAGTTTGGAATAGGAAGTTATTTTTTTCTTCAAGGAGCATACCACTAGGTGTCATTGATGCCTTCCCGTTTGAAATTAGTTTCCTCTGATCGTACACTTCATATCTGTATATTCATTCGTCATGACTATCAGGTTCGCTAACGTTACTTCGAACTTGCATGTAACGCATATATAGTGTCAAAAAGAAAGTATTACTAATATAACTTACATGATATCACTAATAGTATTAATTTTACAATGTGTTATCAAATTTAATATTACATATATTAGTATTAATATGTAATGAATAATCATATATAAAAACAAAATTTTCACAAATAACATTTATTTATTAACATTATAATAAGACTGTTGTGTAACTATTTATTCTTAATAATTATACAGTATTATATACATCTATATATATCTGTATATATATATATATATATCTATTTAAATTTATATATATCTATATATCTATGTATTATATATATATATATATATACATATAATTATATATATCTTATTACATTTTAATACATATTAATAGTATATTATGTAAATTATATTAGTAATACTTTTTTTTTTCTTTTTGATACAATATGTGCGTTACACGCAGTTTCGAAGTAACATTGGCGAATCTGATAGTCATGACGAATGAATATCCAAATATGAAGTGTACGAAAGAAGGAAACTAATTTCAAACGGAAAAGCATCAATGACGCCTAGTGTACAAGCGCGTATAATAATTTATGTAACAGTTTTTTCTGAAACACGGACATTAGGCGCCTTTTTAAAAGGTAAATTTCTTTCGATATCACGCATTTTGTAGTACCTATATATTTTTGTATGAACGTTTTAACATCCAAATTTTTACTTATATATGTATCTAATTCTTTAATAATAAATTATCTAAACTGCGTTTTCAGTTTGCGTCTTTAATCTTTCTTCGATGCGATTTTTAAAAATCTTTAACACATTAATCTTAGTCATTTCAATTCTAACATTACTAAATCACTTATTAGTATGACACTTCATATTAATTTTGAAACAGTTGCTTCTCTCGAACATTTATCTGGAACGAAGTAAACAAAATAATTTAGAATGCGTTCTGCAGGAAAAGCAACTTTCTTTATTAAGATATGTAAATTCTAAAATATATTCTGAGAGATATAAAAATTATATAAAGTTATTTGTAAATAAAAGAATTTTTTACATGATCAAATTTTCCATATAATTTTATAACTTTTTACAAAATTTTTTGTACTTTTTGTATGAAACATAAAATATTTCAGAATTTACATATCTTATTAAAGCCATAGCGCAGACCTTTATATAGCGTATGCACAGGGCATAAGTGAATCAATAAAACTCCTTTCTATCCTTCAACGGAATCTACAATAGAAATTGTAGCGGTTGTAGAGTTTTAAGTCGTAGGAAATTGATCAAGCATAGTCTATTATTCTTCTCATACTTTGACTGTGATTGGTTAATTTTCTACGACTTAAGATTCTATGATCACTATGACTTCTATTGTAGATGTCACGTTCCTTTTCGAAAAAAAAGAGAAATTTTGGTTGATTTTCTCATATACTATATAATGCAACATATAATGCACTTTGCATTATGTGTTATGCAAAAGTTTGTGTTGCAATATATTTTCACGAAGCGATGCCACGAATGACAGAGATCTAGCTCTCTATCGATATATCGATACAGAGCTAGCAAAACTGTAGGTAAGTAGTGTTGAATGCCATAATGTGGGGGGGGGGGGGGGAAGGAGAGGAAAGACAACAGGTGAGACAACGCGTATAACGGCAATTCAGAGCAATCAATGCATCCCTCAAGTTGTCACACAACGGCGAATCAAATTTGGATCCTAAATTTTTTCCTGCACATCCCTCAAATTTTCTCACCTGTCTCCCACAGCCGTGTCTCTTGATATTTTTACTCGCATATTAAATCCAAGTTTACTGTCTTAGAGGTATTAATTATCATTAATTATTATTAAAGTTATACATTTAATTTGTATTATATATTTATTTCGAATGCAATAATGCCGAAGAACATTAAATTCTTATTTACGAATTATATTTCTTAAATATTAAAATAGAAAAATATATAATAGTGCAATTGCAAATGCAAAAACAAACCAAATTTTAAGACTTCTGGTAATTTATAAAATATTGTTGAACTAAAGATTAATTTTTTTCAAAAACATTTGTGCTGAGTCAGATAAAAAAGAAACGAAAGAAAAGTTAAATAAACAAATCATATGCTGTAATAAGATGTTATGTATTTCTGATTAATTATAGGTTAAATATATAAAAATTGTTTTTTAATGTTATCTTCTTAATTAAAATGCGTTTATATTGCGTTAATTATTATAATCTAATTATACATCAACTTTCGAGCAAATACGAATACATTTAATTCAAATATATCAAATACAATTGTATAATTATGTTACAATTAATTTTAGTAAATTGAAAAAATATTTCTCAAAACTTAATAATAATTAATTTTACATAAAATAAAAAGAGTATTAAATATAAATGAACCAAATTTTAACTAATACTTGAATTATTCAAATAATTTGAATTATAGTTAAATTTGACTAAACCGACAATAATTATTTCGAATAATTTCAGTATTATCCGCAATATTCTGACATAATTTCTCTAATTGTACATTTTATAACTTCTCGGGAAAAAAATGTTTCGTATATAATTATATATAACTATACAAAAATATTTACATAGTTTATATACAATTATATAACATTTATATATTACATTTTTTCCCGAGTTTATATCCATATAGATTACATAAAACGTCATACAAGATATACAAATAAATTAATATATTGATATATTTAAAAAAAAGTTACACATTAGTGATATTATTTATTAGTGAGCAATTACTGAATCAATTAATAAATTATATATTTGTAACAAAGTTAATGATATTATCATAAAACTGCTTTACGTTTAAATGCGAAGCAGGTAATTACTCGTCAAGTGCGGCTACTTAAACGTATATTCCTATATCCATGTCAATCTCATTCTTATTAATTGTATTTCATGTAGAATGGTCTCCAAACTTTGTCAGGGGATCTAGATCCTTTTTTATTGTTATAATTGGGCCTAAATATAAACACAGTAATTTAGAATTGGAAAAGTATCACTGCAAAGAAAATAATAATTACGTTTTATATGTCGATTTATGTTAAAATTATATTTTATACATATTATTTGATTATTAAATCAAAATTAATATTCTTACTAGTCATGTTTCTTACAAAAAATGTATAAGTTTAGTTATCATTTAAATTTCATAATACTTACGCAACTACTCATGTGTGAAAATATTCATTGATCATATCGAAATTATATAAGATATAGATGAAAGCATATTTAAATTAATAAAACTTCATACAGATTTGTTTAAATAATTTCATTAAATACTAAAAGTAATATCGTATAAGCAAAATATTATTCTCAAATTTAAATAATCTGTATTTTTTAGTATTTAATATTTAATTTTATTATACTAATTATATATATATATATATATATAGAACACATACTAGAATTTATTAATTCAGAAATATAAAACAAATCAATATTACTAACATTTACCTCTGTTGATTTTGATTTTGAGAAGGTTGCCCATTTGTACTTGTATTCGCATTTTCTTCAGTTACAGATTGTATCGTTCTATCCATTTTAATATCTTCAACATTTGATATAGGCTTGTTTGAAATATATTGTTCATTATGATCAATTGTATTATTAAAAGATATAGTATATACGTTAAGTATATAACAAATATAAAAATGTATAACAAAAAAATTTGTATAGCTTTATACTTTTAAATATAAAATATACAATTTTGTTACATATGTTATACACTATTAAAAACGATATAAAATTTGATGTACTTTGAAGTTACAAAAATTAAATTAAATTTTATGACTAGATTAAATTTTATGTATCTGTAACTGAAAAGTATATTTGTGTACATGTACATGAAATTTTGTGTACGTTTCATAAAATTTTACGAAGTTTAGTACATTTTAAATTAAATTTTATGTAGATTTGTATAAAATTTAATGTAAGTAAACGTTAAATTTAAATTATTTGTAACTTTATTTTCATTGACAACACATTAAATATTTGCAACACATTACACGTGTGATGGAAGCAAATTTCAAGCAGGCACATTAAAAATATTTAATGTATTATCAATGAAAATAAAGTTACAAATAATTTAAATTTAACGTTTCCTTACATTAAATTTTATACAAATCTACATAAAATTTAATAAAAAATGTACTAAACTTCGTAAAATTTTATGAAACGTACACTAAATTTCATGTACATGTACACAAACATAATTTTCAGTTACAGATACATAAAATTTAATGTAGTCATAACATTTAATTCAATTTTTGTAACTTAAAAGTACATTAAATTTATTTTTTTTGTAAACAGTGTAATTGCATATAACAGAACAGATTAAAAACATAAAATATAAAACATTACTATTAATAACATTTACCTTTGATGACCTTCTTGAGTTCTAACATTTTATCAACTTGTTCTATCACGAGATAATAACTTATTGCTATATTTTCTTCTACTATTGTTGCACCATTCTATACACGTCATTATCTTCGGTTTTTTTAAAGATCGGTTCTTATAAAGATCTTAAATATACCTAATTGTGTATGGCATTGATAGTGTACTTTTAAGTCATTTATTTCAACGAATATATCGTTGTAACTCTTAGCGCAATAATGGCAGGTTATGGTAAAATTGTTTTTGTCAATTGTGAAATGTTCGGTTAACGAATTATTTGCAAGGTCAATTTGCAGCACAGTTATTATTTCTTGTGAATGTTTTTGTTTTAGATGATGCTTTAACAATGGTTTATGCACTTGACGAAATGAAGATCCGCATAATGTACATTTTGCGGCAAATAATATTATTTTATTGAAATATGTCCATATCACATCGTTGTCGTTTTCCCACATTAATTTTTCTTCTTCATTATATTTTTGATGCTTATAGTATAAATGTGATATCCATTTCATTCTTTCATCATTTCTATTTCTAAAGGTCTGATCACAATATTTACACTTTATTTTCTTGTCGGTTAATTTAGTAAAATGTTCCCATAACCAATCACATAATTCACCTGTTCCAGCTGCCATTATATCTGCACGGTGTGTTGGTAAATACTACATACCGAATTATGCCAAGGAAACTGTTCAGAGAAACTGTTTAGGAGAGGATGATGAAAGGAGAAAGGGAAGAAGGAAGGTTGAAACGTATAACGTCTCACTAAAATGTAAATATTAATGTATCGATTGAATCTTCGAGTTAAGAGTCACATAGTTTAGTTCTTCTTAATTCGATTTTTGTTATCAAATATTCAGATTAAGATTAATATTATATATCTTAGCCACTTTGACTATAATATAAAGTAATAGAAATTAGTACAAACTATAAAATTTGAAAATGTTCCTTAATCTTTTATTGTTTACTGATTACTGCAACGTTGATTATCACAGTTATAGCAATAAACCTTCATGTCAAAACTTTTAATTTGTGTTAAAAGTGTTGAATCAAGAACTGTGTGACGAAGTATTATAATAGTTTACAAAAAATGTTTCTTTTTAATTACTTGGAATCAGACAAAGTATCTGTTATAGATTTTTATGTTATGGATACTTAACGTTGCCACAAATTAAATTTCACTGACGTTAGGTTTTGAAATAATTAAGATTTAATGTATAAAAAAAAGCTTTTTTACCATATTTTTGCGATATTTAACTTTTTTGTAAAAAAGATTGATGTTGTCTTGAAATTCTGAAGTCACACACACACACTTGAATGTATTTTTATTTCCTAAAACATATCATTTCGCTTTTTAATATTATACTTTTTAGCCACGTTATGAAGGTTTCACATACACACACAAAAGTATAGAATTTTTCTGCAATAGAAAATCTTTTTACGAGAAAGAAATCATTATACTTATAATTTCTACTTTGTGAATATTGATATACACATGTAGGTAATTTATAATCATAGATTCCGTTGAATGTGTCTAAAATTTGTGAAAATTCAATTCAAATATGATCATTAAAGCATATGCTGCTGTTGTCTTTGATTAATTATAACAATACTTAATTATAAAATTGTTGCTAAATTTTATATCGTTTGATCTATAGAACACAAAGAATGTCTCTTATCCAGCATCTGTGCAATATTTGTACTTTATATTGTTGGTTATATAATTTACTAAAATGTTCCTACATCTAATCACATGATTCATCTCTTCTAGCTGCCATTATATCTGCACGATACCACGATGTGTTACTAAATACTACATACCAATTATGCCAAGGAATCTGTTCTAAGAAACTGTTTCCTTGTGGAAAGGGAAGGACGATAAAAGGAAAAAGAGAAGAAGAAAGATTGAAACATGTAACGTCTCACTAAAATGTAAATATTAATGTATCGATTGAATCTTCGGGTGAAGAGTCACATAGTTTAGTTTCTATTAATTCGTTTTCTGTTGTCAAACATTCAAATGAAGATTGAGATATTATATGTTTTACCCACTTTGACTAGAATATAAAGTCATAAAAATTAGTGCAAACTATAAAATTTGAAAATGTTTCTTAACTTTTTACTGTATAATTACTGCAACATTGATTATCATAGTTAATGATCATTCATGTCGAAACTTTTAATTTGTATTAATAAAGTAGAATCAAGGGACATGTAACAATGTTTTATAAACTTCAGATTGTGTGAAATGTTATAAATATAAATAAAGTAAAACTACATAAATATTATTATCGCACGATAGTTAAATACGTTATGAGTAATTTAATAATTAGTGATATGTGTATAGTCGCTGTCGGCGAGAGACAAAGTGTGTGTCTCATTATGTTTCGACAGCTGTCTGCCGCACGAACAGTAACACATCCGTGGTTCTCATATCGCACGTCTCATCAAATTTATACATCTTGCACATTCATTTCAACGTCAGTACCTTTGACGAGCATCGACTTATGATCCGTCTTATTCGTGCATAAATTCCGTATAGAAATGCGTGTAAAAGTCGTTAATAAAAATTCGCGAATATTACGTATCCGCATAGCGCGACAGCATTTTACGCACACTAGAATTACGCTAGGAGTGAGAAATCTTTACGCGAGGAGATTAAAGAAGAGAGATTTAATCTCTATCTTTAGCGAATTAAATGGATTATGATTTATCGTTGCGCGCTAGGATCGGCAGTAGGATTGGCATTATATATCGGCAATCTACGGGAACAGAGTGCTTAAACGGCTACGCTGTGTGGTTACGTATAGAAACAATAATTCGAAAATGCGCCATATATTTTCTGAGGGGTTAATTACAACAAGATAGAGCCAGACAAAGTCGTAAGGGATTACGAAATAATTACCCAGTGCGCGGTTTTCGCTCGAGGTTTGCTGATTGTAGGCTGAAAGATAAATGAGCCAATTATGAAATCGACGAAATTTCACACCGCGGACGAAAATTCATTAGGGAGGTTCGTGGGCATAAATAAATCCATACGCACCCCTCCACGCCCACAGTCTCACGAACAAAGGCAGGTGTCGGTGATTCTCAGAGGTTTAGAACAGAAGATCATTGAGCGAGATTTTGAAGTTCAAGAGTCCCCTATGAGAAGAAAAGTGGCTTCCTCTGTCACAGAATGCTGAGAATTCGTATACGGATCGAGATTCCCGGTTTTCATGACATCGGTTACTCGACGAGAACAGTGGGAACAACTGGTACTCAGATAATGAAGGGCCGGAAAACAAAGTACCCGTCTAATATCCGATAAGAAGAATTCGTAAATTTCAAGAAAATTCAAGAAAATGTTAACGACTTGAAGGAGATAGGGAAACGAGCAATATTATTCATTATTATAAAGCCTTGCAAAGTAACAGTTAAATATAATCATGCGTCGCTTTTTATGTTGTTTTCTTTTTTTTTTCGTAAAGCTTCATGAGCGGTATCCTCGTAAATTCATCTTTTAAACCCTCAGCAACGTCTCTTCTCGCTGAGTCGGAGACTTCTTAGAGGCCGTCGGGACTCATTTATTATTCAGATTTATAGCCAGACTCGAACTGACTCCCACAGATCGGCAGGTCTTTGCAACTCTGCGAGTTTGCCGCGAACCCTTGAAGACTCTTGGAAATTCGATGTTTTGCATATACGATCTTTGTTCAATTCGAAACTCGCGTATAATAAGAAGTTTACACAGGTACTTACCGTACATTTTCTGACAAAGAGTAACCATCAATTTTGTTAATATTTGCCCAATGTCCGTGATAAATATACTGCATTTCGCGATTGTCAATATCTCATTTCCGAAAGAAACTTATTTAGTAATGCCGAGGAGTCTTATATCTTTGGTGTGCGCGTCGAGTTATGATTCGACAATTACTGGAATCACATCGTATACAAGAGATACGAGGAGAGAATAATTAAACACCCAGCTAGAATTCCAGCAGAGTCCCTATGAACGGAAAGGACGTAGACGTCCGAAGCGGACGGGAAAAAAGAAGAGACGGCACAGAATGTTGGAAGGACAGGAGCTAAGCGGCGAACGGATGGACAGACGGACACGCTGCAGACAGTATCGGATTGATCTTAGCGAGTGAACCCAATTACCCACTGAAAAGGACTAGATTTATTGTCTGGACACACGGGGGACTGACTGAGGGTTCCTGATGCCCACGATGGTGGCAGCCACTCTTTACGATGGCTCTGAGCCCGCAACGAGAGCGAAGATCGAGGCGGTGTAAGCCTCAAGGTGTCATGTAGTTTTACTCATCCAATTATCAGAGTCCTGAAAACGACCTTAACTATAGATGCTCCTGAAGAAGTCCTCGGTGTGAGCCACAGAATGGATCCGATCGAATGTATATCCACGTTCGCACGCAAACAACTGATCATAATATATAATTGACATAATTTATCGGCTGCGAGCGTCTTTATCTCTGTGGTCACGCAAGTGCTTTGTGAATGATTGACACCAAGCATGCCTCGTCAATATCGTCAGTCAATCAAAAGGAAGAAATACAGCTTTATAAATTTTTTTAATGGTCCAAGATCGATTGCATTTAACATTATTCAATAATAATTATGATAGTTTACAAACATATTTAATCACTATGCAATAATTTGATTGGATTAAAGTTTTTAATTAATCTCGCACGCTTGTCTGTGATAATTTCAATGTAGCATTAATAATTTCAATGTAGAAAATATTATGAAATAGATCCGATCTTCGCAATATCCGAAAGCTTCATTCTACTTAAAGTCTATCTAGCAGCTAATTGGAATCTCGCCATCTAGAACACTTCGTCTTCCTTTCGCAACTCTCTGCCGAAACTCACGGCTGCCATTGGCTAGACCTCATCCCGGAGATATGTAAATTCTCGACAAAAGGGTACGCGAGAGAGGATACCTACCTTTAGATGGCTGCAGGTGCCTGTCACCGGAGGCAGACATACTTTAGTCGCGAGCCGAAAAGTGGAAGGATACGTGTTCTTTGCGAATCGCCGCCGCCATGTCCCGGATGCATTGCCGCGATGCTAACTGACACCTCACAGGGCGCTGATCGAAATATTTATTGTCCTTACGCAAGGCGTTTCAGTCGCTTTGCTTTTATGCGTCCACTTTTGCATACTAGATTATCTATGTACAATCTCTTATATTACGTTGCCTACATACCTCGCATACTGCCCTTTCTGTCTCATTAGCTGCGTTCAACAGAGCAAACTAATCAGTTAGCTTTCTCTGCTGAACGCAGCCAATTATATTGGTACATTTACCTTATATTTGACATAGGCTGAAAGCTCGAAAAAAGTTCAAAAAAGTTGAAAGAAGGTATCGGATCATTTTTAAGTGTAATTTAGATAATCAATCAAAGCATCTTACACTGAAAGAGGAATCTGGTAATGACTACCTCTGTTGATGAAATAAATTCAATTAAATGTTTAGTTAATATATAATAAAAAATAATTTTACTCTTCTAAATATTTAATATTTATTACCAAATGATTGATTATATTATTATGTTTGGCAATATTTATTCATTTTCTAAAAAAGTAAAATTATTTTTTATTATATTACATATAACCGAATTCAACGTGAAATAAATGAGTTTTTAAAGAAATGAGTTTTTCTGCGAAAGAGAAGATCGTGGGCTTCGTCTTCTTTTTAAGAAATTGGATTTTGTAATTTATATAACAAACCAGTCTTATATGTCCTGCACATTATCTTGACGTATAACCATCATTCGTCTGCAAAACTTCATCCACAAAATTATTTCTTTCATACTACAGAGACACTGATATTGAATATCATCTGCGAAATATCGCGGTAAAAAGTATCAGTAGTAAATCAACCACGCTTATCGAGTGATTCTTGGTGTAGAGAACAGTAAAAAACTGAAACTGAAATGTCGAAAGAACCTTACAGTCCTATAATTATATTATTATACCCCTGCTGCGTAGCTCATGACTCTGAGGCCAATTTGTCATCTGACCAACGAGTTCGTGTAATTTGTGATTTATCACTGTCCCAGCTCTTCGATCTTTTCTCTCTTGTGATATCGTTTACACCACACACTCCTTCAAAGCGTATAATTTCACTACGTCGCGCATCAAAATTTAGACACAAAAATATCTAAAGAGAGGTATAATGTAATGGCCGCAGCACGGGCTTTTGCATAATGCATAATGCATAAGAGAATCAACCAATCAAAATTCTTCTTTTCCCATTTCATTGTAAAATGTGAGGAAAAGAAGGATTCTGTAGCGGGATTCTCTAAACGTCTTATCAATGATTGTCGCTATTATTAACTAGCGACAGCCAATGGCAGGACAATCCTGAAAGAAAGAGTGGTACTCATTGGCTATCGTTAGTTAACAATAGCGACAATCGTCGATAAAACGTTTAGAGAATCCTGCAACTGGGCCCTTATTCTCGAAAAGTATCGCACACGAAAAACTAGGGAAATACTATAGTATGTGTTACATATACTATGACATTTCTCTAATTTTTCGTATGCGATACTTTCTAAGAATGGGGACTCTAATAAGCCCTGATTCGTCGATTCGCTTACGCATTAAGCATTATACGTTAAAAATCCGAGGTAACCACTAGCTGAAATATTGTCCCACAGATTACATGACATCATATGATTTTATCTGATTACAAATAATTTTTCTCGCTACATATGAAGTCGTTTGGTAAAATATACGAATTAATTTAATATTATACAATGATTTATCGTAGTTGCATACGTAATTATTGGATTATACATAGAAATTTAATATGAATTTTATAATGATTTCGAGGACTTCTGTCTCACGATTACATTAAGTGGTTAC